GTGCCTCCTGGTGTTAGACAATGCCCCTGGTCATCCTACATACTTGGCAGAGCGACTTTGTGGGGACATGAGCTTCATTTAGGTCAAGTTTTTGCCTCCTAATACCACTCCTCTCCTGCAGCCCACAGACCAGCAGGCTATTGCAAACTTCAAAAAACTGTACACAAAAGCTCCGTTTGAAAGGTGCTTTGTAGTGACCTCAAACTCAATTGACTCTTAAGAGAGTTTTGGAGAGAGCACTTTAATATCCTCAATTGTGTAAACCTTATAGGTAAGGCTTGGGAGGGAGTGACTAAGAGGACCTTGAACTCTGCTTGGAAGAAACTGTGGCCAGAATGTGTAGACCAAAGGGATTTTGAAGGGTTTGAGGCTAACCCAGGGAATCCTATGTCAGTTGAGGAATCCACTGTGGCATTGGGAAAGTCCTTGGGGTTGGAGGTTACTGGGGATGATGTGGAAGAGTTGGTGGAGGAGGACAATGAAGAACTAACCACTGATGAGCTGCTAGATCATCTTCATCAGCATGAGGCCACACCTGAGGAAACTGCTTCGGAGGAGGGGAGAGAGAAATTGAAGAAGTTGCCTACTTCAAAGATTAAGGGAATCTGTGCAATGTGGCTTAAAGTGCAAGCCTTCATGGATGAAAATCACCCTCAGACAGCTGTCGCAAGCCGTGCTGGTGACTATTACACTGACAATGTTGTGAACCACTTTAGTAAAGTCATAAAGGAACGAGAGGTACAGACCTCTATGGACTGATATGTTGTGCGACAGAAGTCCAGTGACTCTGAAGCTGGTCCTAGTGGCATTAAAAGAAGAAGGGAAGTAACCCCAGAAAAGGACTTGACACCTCAAGTCTTAATGGAAGGGGATTCCCCTTCTAAACACTAAGACTCTCTCCTCCTCCCATCCCATCAGTCATCACCAGATCTTCAATAAAGGTAAGTGTCATGTAACTGTGCATGTCTTCTTCAGTTTGTGTGTATGTTGCAGTTTAAAAACTGTAGTGTAAAGCACCCTTCTGGCAAGACAGTGATGGAGTGAATGATGGTGAAAGTTTTTCTTTTTCGGGCCACCCTGCCTTGGTGGGAATCGGCCAGTGTGATAATAAAATAATATATAATTTCATGTGGTAAAAAAAAATTTTTTTCATACTTTTGGGTGTCAGGAACTGATTAATTTGATTTCCATTATTTCTTATGGGGAAAATTCATTCGCATAACGATAATTTCGCATAACATTGAGCTCTCAGGAACGGATTAATATCGTTATGAGGGGGTCCACTGTACAAATAACTTTATACCATAGCGTTTCCTTTTGCTTGGTATGTATTGCTTGAACGAGAGTCTTTCTTTGAATAAAATCAAAGGCTCGTCAATAACAAGCTTCCTGAAGAGATAAAAATACACGCAACACTTTTGTTTCAGGTACATAAACACATTTCTGATCTTATATAACCTGTCGCTTCTGTCAGCCCTTGTTTTGTCTGAAAAGTGAAACATACGTATCAAGCAACGATTCACACCTATGATGTCACTAAAACCTGGGGTTGAAATCAGGCGTTCTGTTGCCCAATATGTGGTGACAGTGTGCTTATACATATGTGGCATAAGCATTAGTGTAGCAAAAAACAGGTACATCTCTGCCACAGTTGTGTCCTTCCACTGGTGTAGCCATGATATTGGTGAGAGAATTGTATTTGCCATGGTGTACTCATAGTATGTGTTGGTTTCCCTGACAATAATGTCCATCAGGGGTTCAACGAAGAATAACTGAAAGCATTCCAGTTCAGTAGCATTGTTCCCAAGTGTACACGATGGCCATGTTCCACTTTGTGTTTCATCAGTCATGGGGACTGGGAACAAACTCGTCACCTTCCTGCCAATCCCAGATGCGGACTGCTGGTGGGTTCTGGATACTGAAACGCAGTTGTGGTTGTGCACGTTGTGGTTGTGTAGGTTGTGAGAGTGTGGGGTTGGGTGAGGCTGGTTGTAGTTGTGCAGAGTCAGCAACGTCGGTAGTAGCGTGGCCCACTGCTGGTGTCACATGACTTGTGCCACAATCACTATCACCACCACCACCACCACCACCACCACCTGCTGCCTCACTCACATCATTCATACCCATCGTAACAATATCGTCATCTTTACTATCAGGTTGTGGTGTAGGGCCACGGGATGTGCTCCAAGATTTAATCCTTCCTCTTGGAACAGCATATGACACACTACCAGACTGCATGCTATATACTGCCACTTCACTGGGGAATATTCACCCTCACTGTCGCAACTAGAACTGCTCTCAATAGATTTGAAATTACTATCACTATCACTTTCACTGCTCACATCAGAGTCTTGTACATGGGCAAATAGTTTCCTCTTTCGTCCTTGTACAGGTGAACGTGAACGAGCCGGCCCAGCACCAGAGGTGGAAGGTCATGGGTCATCTGTGTTTTCATCACTAATTACGTTATCCTGGGCACTGTTTTCAGTCACACCCGCTTGAAAACCATGGAATTCATTTTCACTGACACTTTCATCGCTGTTTGAGCTATCACTTGGGAACAAGACCTCCAATCCGCCAAGGAGTGAGGTACTTCTTACTGCAAGGCATGGTGAAAATGGACTACCAAGATGGCGTTCCCACAATGCACCACTGAGTCCCAGATTTTTTTCTCAGGGTGCACACCCACTACTCAGACCCATTCTCTCTCATGTAGGCCTACCAGCTTTCTCCCGCTTGATTTGAAGCCGCTAGAATTTACGCATATAAATACGTCAGAAACAGTGACGCCTAAGACATATACAGTGGACCCCCACATAGCGATTTTAATCCGTGCAAGAGGGCTCATTGTTATGCGAAATGATCGGTATGCGAATGAATTTTCCCCATAAGAAATAATGGAAATCAAATTAATCCGTGCAAGACAACCAAAAGTATGAAAAAAAAATTTTTACCACATGAAATATACATTTTCCTACACACAAAGAGAAGGATACATGCACAATAGTAGAGTAGTACATGCACAATATGTATTGTGCATGTACTACTCTACTAAATGAAGAATAAATGACACTTACCTATATTGAAGATGCAGCAATGACTGATGAGACACTGTGTCCTGGGAGTGCCTTTTCCTCCTGAGTACTGTAGGTCCTGTTTGGCATTTTCTTCCAGAACAGGCCTTATCACACTGTGTATGCCACTACGATTCTTCATTCTCTCAAACCAACCTTTGCTGGCTTTAAATTCATCAATATGAGCACTAGTTCCAGGCATTTTTCCCTGTTCACCTGGGTGTTAGTCGACTGGTGTGGGTTGCATCCTGGGAGACAAGATTAAGGACCCCAATGGAAATAAGTTAGACAGTCTTCGATGACACTGACTTTTTTGGGTTATCCTGGGTGGCAAATCCTCTGGGGTTAATTGTTTCTTGGTATTCTCAATAAGCCACACCAACAACGGTGCTACAGCAGCAGCAGCAGCAGCAGCAGCTGACAGTGCAGCAGCAGCAGCAGCAGCTGACGGTGGTACAGCAGCAGCAGCAGCTGTACCACCAATAGTAGCGATGGTTGATTGGGGTTTATTATACAACCTGGCCAGCTCGGAGACACGCACTCCACTTTCATACTTATCAATGATCTTTTTCTTCATCTCTATAGTAATTCTCACCCTTATTGCTGTAGGGTTGGCACTAGAAGCTTTCTTGGGGCCCATGGTCACTTATTTTGCAGATAAAATCACCAAAAACACTGTAATAATACGAAATGTTCCGATTGTATGCTTGGATGTTACCGCGGAGGCTGGCTGGTAAACAATGCCACCGGCGGCACATGTGAGGCTGGCTAAGGGCGCACATTGGACGCGTCTCGGACGAACAGCGGTGAGCGGGTTTTTGAGCGGTATGCGAGGCAAAATTTTTGCGATAAAAGCGAGCGGTATGCGGATTAAACGTTATGTGATGCCAACGGTATGCGGGGGTCCACTGTATATACGACCGAAACAGTCAAAAGGGTTAATCGAGTCCTTTCTTAGTGTACTCTTCATACTGTACCATCTGCCAAGTGTCTTGCTTTCATATAAAGTGATTTAGACGAGGAAATGAAGAAGTCAAATACCATGCAGCTTAAGAGAAACTATTACAAAGCTCAAGAAACTAGAAACCAGGAATGTCAGTGAAAGATATTAAAGCAAAAGGTGGAAGCAGGAGCAAAGATTCAACCATTGCAAACACAAATCCTTTCATATCCAAGTGTTCAGCCATGCATGTAGCCAAGTCCCCCTAAACATATAAAATTTTAAAAAGCATAAAATATCAAGATATGTTGTGTATCTTTATACGTATATGCTTCTAAACTGTTGTATTCTGAGCACCTCTGCAAAAGCAGTGATAATGTGTGAGTGTGGTGAAAGTGTTGAATGATGATGAAAGTATTTTCTTTTTGGGGATTTTCTTTCTTTTTTGGGTCACCCTGCCTCGGTGGGAGACGACCGACTTGTTGAAAAAAAAAAAAAAAAAAATATCAAGACTGAAAGCACTGAAAATGTCAATAATGGAAGAAAGGAAAAAATATACCAGTTAAGTTTACACAGAAATATGAGGTGTATATTAGAATTTTTGTGGAGATAAGATTAAATATCACAAGAAACCATAATTTCAAACTATGATTTTAAGAGATGTAGTAAGAACAATAGGAAGCACTTATCACAATGGCATATAAATAAAATGACCTCCAAGAACAGGTAGCATGCACCATCACCATGGAAAACTTGAATGTAAAGAGACATGATTAAAGATAGCTCTACCACAAGTCATCCTTGTTCTAAAATTATATACAGTATTGCATACCAAACAAAATTAATAACATTTAAGCAACATTACATTTATGTTCTTTTTTGCAAGAAATCATACCTAGAATCTATCTCTCTATAGAATGGACTTATAAATACTGAGACATACAAAGCAAAAATCACAATAAAAGTACAATAAATATATCTCTTACTTCATAACTTTGATGTAGCCTTTTGCAGCCGCCACATGTAAAGCTACAGCTCCAGTCTTTGGATGAGGTCTGTCTGCTAAGTAACCACTACTAAGCCACATCTGAGCATCTTCTAACATACGCCGCTCCTCTTCATTTCGACACGACTCACAATCAATACCTAAGAGAAGTTTTTTAATAAATAATCTGTTAAATAATACTGTATATGAACTATTTAAACACTAAAATTGAGGAAACCACCAGGCAACTTTCACTTCACTGGAAATTTATAATCTAGTCAGCCAAACACCACATACTGTACAAATAATGCCTGTACAGACTTCATATGTGAATGCAGTACTATAACATATTATAATGCTTTTAATGTTACAGCGACATTGACTGTAAAACAGAGGTCAGTAATAGAGAGTTGAGATTAAGGACAGTAGGAGCAGAGGCCTACCTGTCTACCTGATGAAAATTCAAGGGACGATTCCCCTTCCCAGCAGCCTGGTCTCATACCAGGCTTCCTGATTAATATTCAGGTCAATCAGGCTATGGCTGTGTGGCACACAGGCTGAAGAAGGCACCACACAACCTGGTGTATCAAGAACAGGTTGGAGAAAATTGTCAAATTCCCTCTTGAAGACAGTTAGGGGTTTATTTTAATACTCTTATATTTGATGAGAGGGTATTGAAAAGCAGTAGACTTTTCATCCTTATTTTGTTGTCTCTTAGTACATTAAATGAACCCCTTCTTTTATTGGGGTTATTTTACACCATTTATAATGCCTACTACTCTCCAAGGCTATTTGGAGAAAATTGTATGTACTTCACATCCTTTGTCTGCATTAAAGGGAATACAGCTTGACAGAATTTTGGCATTCCAAAAGAGTAGTGTTTGGTGAACTGATGTAGGAAGTGAAAGTTCTCTGTAATTTTTAAAGATCTGCAATTTTAAAGTCAAAGAGTGTATAAGTACTTTACCAATTATCATTACCTTGTCATCTATTGTTCTGAAGGTTCTTTTTATTGCCATACATCTTCCTTGTAGTTTTGATACACAAGTAACACTACTGTGATACTCGTTAAAAAATCTTTATACACAGTTATACCAAAGTGGTTTGATTGAGATTTGAACTATGTTCCTGCTTTCATTTAGAACTTAGCTTTTCCTTAGCAGAACAGGATGAATATCCACATTAAAAATCATATTTTCTGTTGCCCACTGGAAAACCTAGCTTATGATGGCTTAGAAATTAGTTGTGTCCCCAATGGATGCCACTCATACAAATTCCAGTATCATACTCAAACGATAAGAGCACAGAAATTAAAAGAAATCAGAAAATGGTGTGGGTTTACTAAAGGTATAATTCAGAGGTCTGAGGAGGGGTTGGTGAGGTGGTTTGGATACTTAAGAGAGGATGAAGAAGAATGGCCACAAGGGTGCATAAATTGGAGGTGGAAGGGGAGTAGGAGCCATCCAAGGAAGGATTGGAGGAAGGGAATACAGTACGTTGTGAATATTAGGCCTAGGCTTGAGCCTATTAGACTGGATTGGAGACAATTGGGTTTTATGACTGACACTGTTGGACTGTAAGGAAAGTAACATTTAATAAGTGATTCAGGGAAAATTTGTTAGCTGGACTTGAGTCATAGAGGCAAATAGTATAATGCTTGTATTCTGAAGGAGTGGTGAAAATGTTGCAGTTCAGAGGGTCACTTGTGATATCTGCATATACTACAGTGGAACCTCGGTTTTCGTCTTTAATCCATTCCAGAAGCTCAGCCGAAAACCGATTTGTATGAAAACTAAAGTAATATTTCCCACAAGAAATAATGTAAATCCAATTAATCCATTCCAGACACCCAAAAATATTAAAAAAATTCATAGAGAATAACTATAGTTTTACATACAGAAAAAATGAGAAATAAATATAAATGACTAGTGAAATGGATGCATGAACATTTAACATCACTTTTACCTTCATTGAAGATTCTTGTTGGCGTATGGAAGACGGCGAGGAGGGGAGAGGGAGGAGGTTATTGTTTGGAAGGAGAGTCAACCTCCATAAGGACTTCATACATATATCGAAGCCCTATCCAGAGTTACTTCCCTTCTTTGTCTTTTACTGGCACTAGGACCAGCTTGAAAGTCACTAGACCCCTGTTGCACAAGAAATCTGTCCACAGAGGCCTGTTTCTGGCATCTCTAAGATTTGCCTAAAATGGGACATGGCATTGTCATTGAACATGTTGCTGACACAGCTCGCGACAGCATTGTTAGGGTGATATTTCCCCACAAAACTTTGCACCTCACTCCACTTTGCACAAATGTCCTTAATTGCTGAAGAAGGTACATTCTCCCCCCTCTCTCTTCCTTCTATTCTGAAGCAATTTCCTCAGCTAAGGTCTGTTGCTTTTCCAGATGAAGGTCTTGCAGCTCTTAAGTGGTTAGCTCTTCCCTGTGGTCGTCCACCAACTCTCAACACATCCTGGCTACTCACCTCCAACTCCATGGACTTCCCCAAAGACACAACAGATTCCACAACAGGAGTAGGGTCATCAGGGTCAGCCTCAAACCCTTCAAAATCCTTCTGGAGAACACATTCTGGCCACAATTTTCTCCAAGCAGAGTTAATCATCCTGAAAGTCACTCTGTGCCAAGCCTTATCTATAAGGCTTATGCAATTGAGGATATTGAAGTGATTCCTCTAGAACTCTCTTAGGGTCAATTCAGTGTCCAAGGTCACTTCAAAGCACCTTTGAAACATTGCTTTGGTATAGAGTTTTTGAAGTTTGAAATGACCTGCTGGTCCACAGTGGTTTACTTAGCAGCTGCAACCTCAAAAAACAATGGATTATGAAATATTTCGGATGAACGCACGGAGTAATGCTCAGTGAACGAGTAACAAAGGAAGACTGAGTCATGAATGTATGAGCGGCAGTGTCCATACCAGACATGTCCCACAAGCAGGCGGACATATCTGGTACGGACGATTTCCAAGCAGATGTACAAAAACAGTGGGAAAATTTTGCCGAAAAAGCAGTCAAAAACTGAACTGTACAATAATTGGACCGGACGAAAATTGGGGTTCCACTGTATATCAGAGTGAGAAGAGAGAAAGTGGTTTTCATGGCCTGCCATACCTTAGTGTGTGAAATGTAGCATTTATTAAGGGATTCAAGGAAACTGGTTAGCTGGATTCAAATTCTGGACTAGTGAACTACAGTGTCTGCACTCTGGAGGGGTGGGAATGCTGTTGATAAGAGGGTCATTTGAACTGTGATATCTGCACACTTTTGGCAAGACAGCTTTTGAATGAGCAATGACAAAAGAATTTTTTTTTTTTTGGTGGGGGGGGGGGGAGGTTACCCCATCTTGAAGAGAGACTGCCAGTATAAAAAAAAATCATGGCAAATACAGTCTTAAAAACATGTGCTCTTCAGTTCTTAAAAAAAAAAAAAAAAATACTTGGGGCGCTGAGCAAGAGAATGTATACATATATAGACGAGGGAATAAATAGCGACATAAGCAAATTTGCTGATGACACCAAAATAGGCCATCCAATTCACTCTAATGAGGACACTAGAGCACTCCAGGATGATATGAATAGATTGATGCAATGGCCGGAGAAGTGGCAGATGCAGTTTAATACTGACAAATGCAAAGTTCTAATTGTTGGACAGGTAAATAACCATGCCACATATGAACTAAATAATATAGATCTTAATACTACTGATTGCGAAAAGGATTTAGGAGATCTGGTTAGCAGTAATCGAAAACCAAGACAAAAGTGCATTAGTGTTCGCAATAAAGCTAACAGAATCCTTTGCTTCATATCTAGAAGTATAAATAACAGAAGTCCTCAGGTTGTTCTTCAACTCTATATATCCTTGGTTAGGCCTCATTTAGACTATGCTGCTCAGTTCTGGTCACCGTATTACAGAATGGATATAAATGCTCTGGAAAACGTACAGAGGAGGATGACAAAGATGATCCCATGTATCAGATAGACTGAGGGCCCTGAATCTGCACTCTCTCGAAAGGCGTAGAATTAGGGGGGATATGATCGAGGTGTATAAATGGAAAACAGGAATAAATAAAGGGGATGTAAATAGCGTGCTGAAAATTTCCAGCCAAAACAGGACTCGCAGCAATGGTTTCAAGTTGGAAAACTTCAGATTCAGAAAGGATATAGGAAAGCACTGGTTTGATAATAGAGTTGTGGATGAGTGGAACAAACTCCCGAGCACAGTTATTCAGGCTAAAACGTTGTGTAGTTTTAAAAATAGGTTAGATAAATACATGAGTGGGTGTGAGTTGGACCTGACTAGCTTGTGCTGCTGGGTCTGGTGCCATGCTCCTTCCTTGAGTGGAGGTGACCAGACTGGGTGGGTCATTGGGCTAATCCGGGGGGAGGACATGGACATGCTCCGCATGGGTCAGTAGGCCTGTTGCAGTGTTCCTTCTTTCTTATGTTCTTATATACATTTGGACTGTTTAGGGTTAAATATTAAATACTGTATAGATATACATACAGAAAACAATGACAAATAAATATAAAGCACTAATAAAATGGATAAATGAACATTTAACAACACACTTGCCTTTACTGACTTTTGTTAGTGTATGGAAGACAGGTAGGAGGCAAGAGGGAGACGAGTTTATTATGCTTCAATATGATGCTAATATCATCTCTATGGCTTATTTATCTATCACAATTCATCTAATATGACATAATTGTTATGTAGGGTTCTGCATGACATTGAAATGTATATACAGTAGAGAAGGGTACCATAATAGTACGAATGTTATGATTGTAAAGCATAATTTTATAATTCATAATGTGCATTTGGGGGTACTGTAAAGTACTCTAATGTAAATTATAAAGAAATCCTGCCAGGGATTTATTTTCCAACTGTGTTTGGGGGTGAGCGGATAAGCGTGGGTGGAGTCACGCGTGGTCAGCATGGCATGGAAGCTGGCATCAGAGACACTGTGTATTTAAGCTAAGTTTTGTAGTGGTGTACTCCTTTTGTTTAGCTAACTCAAGCCATAGGCTCTTCTATGGTTTACCTGTATGCTTACCTAGGCTCTGACATGGTCAGGGTGCTGTGGGATGAGCGAGGAAATAAGAAATGGGGTTAGTATTGGAGTAGTGAAGGCCTGGCGCTGAC